GATTAGGGTAAATTCGGCATTATAACAGGCGTGTCATCACCCACGGCCAACTTGGAATTTGCGGCCCCCGCGAGGTATTTCTTTCAAACTACACCATTATTCCAGAAACCCTGAGCAGCATCGCCTTGACATGGTGGGGGTAAATGTCCCATTTTGTCAGGTATTGGCACCTAGCCTTTGAGCAAAGCTCAGCTCCGACAGATATGAGCGCGTGAAAAAGTGAATGGCTCAATCAATCGCCGTTCGTCTGTCAATGGGAGACGAACCACACATTCTTTTTCTAGAATTGGTGACTTGGGGGCCAAAATCCATAGGATACTTTGTATATCACCCACACTGAAGAAGCCGTGTCCCGCATGACTTGAGCCAAAGCAAGTCCACAAAAATTTAAAGGGACGAACCTGGCTGAAACATGTCTTTATGTATCATTTCCCTGCTTTTCATTTCTTCCAGACTGGCCTCCAGCCTCTCAGCCCCGGCCTCCCCCCCCGGTGTTTTGATTATTACATATATCCTCCTTTCAACAGATAGATCTGTGTGAGGAGAAAGCGAAAAGTTAGGGATTTCCTTGTTGAATACAAGTATTGGAGCAAGTGCATGCTATATTCTTTACAACTCCCTTCATTTCCCCACGTGGATGAAGGTTGGGTATACATGGATGCATTTTCCGCGACGAGATTGGTTTCCTTTGTTGTGCGTTATTTGGTAATTTCCAGCCACATGGGTAGGTCGAACTGCTGGCCTGTATTCCTCCTACTATCTGCTCAAGTCAATTCTCCAAGATAAATTGGACAGACAAGGCTTGTACGTTGCGTATGCTGGATTGGCGGTGGGTTGAGTAGTAGTTGCTATTTAATTAGGCTTATTCGAGCCAGGCCTCCTGGAGCTCATGATCATTTCAATATACGGAGTGCTGCAGAGTACATTCCGGCACATACAACCTTGTGCTCAGAGAACGTCAACGGATTTGGTTGGGGACTTTTAGCTTCTAATAAAAACCACTGATTTGATTGTTGAAAACTTTTTTTTTTTTTTTTTTTTTAAAAAAAAAAAAAAAACCCATATAAACTGAGAACGAAAGGACAAACTAGTAGGGAAATGAAGAAAAAATGACTGATGGCTGGAAGTTGGAGGCTCTCTATCTAGCCTGAAGAAAAGCAGTTTTCTAATGCGTAACATGACTTTGAATCTTCAGTTCCCGAAAACCCTTTTGAAATTTTGTCTACCCTCTAAACGTTGTGTCCATCCCTTTTTGTGTAGTCCACCCATTGAAACACCCTTACAAGCAACAATTACGCGGTAAAGAAGAAGGGAACAGAACCAAGCAAGGACAGAGTAGAAAGATCATAAAAAAAAGTGCAGAAAACGACGGAAAGGGAATAGCAAACAAAATTAGCTCCATATCCACCAGAATCCACGCCACTATCCCCAACGGAACGACGCGTGGCGTCCGAGCGGCTCGATGAGCTCTCCAGCAACCCAGTCGAGGATATCGTTTTCGATTATTGCGGCGGTGTCTGCTAGCTTGCTCTCTAACTGGCGTGTGATTGCTTGCTGGAATAGTCCCGAGTCTGGTTTATAGAGGACGTTGTTGTAGTAATCGAACGAAGTAACGACTTCGGCATCATCCAAGATGCGGTCATATTCATCTTTCCCAAACAGATATGGGAAAAACCCGAGAGCTGAGTCCACGACGCGGTCAAGGTATGCATTCACTTGGTGTTCTGTGATTGGGAGAAAATCTATGTCGCATGAAGTAGCGTTCAGGGTGCGAGCTAAGACAACCGGCCGATAGTCTTCAACATTCATGTTACGAATACCGTTAACATATGCTATGAAAAGCTGTTTATCAAGTTCGATAACATCACGGCTATGTTCATTGGGATCATAGTCTTTTCCGTTGACCGTGTATGGCTGGAAGGGTACGCGTTTCGAGCTTCTCATACGAAGGGCTTGTTCGTGAAACGTCATCTCAGGTTCTGCACGACCGTCCACAATCTCATCCCTGCAGGGAATGATGCGGATATCGTCCTTAGCGCTGAAATGCACGGAATTGACAAAGCAAATGAAGGAACCTTCATCGTCTGAATCTGCATTCATATACACCAGGTCAGTAGCTTTACGAGACTTGCCTTAGTCGATTTTAGTAATATCAGGCCTTACATTCATTCTCATCACCTTCATCAGAACAATTCGAGTCACTGGTTCCAGTTTTATAATCTCCACTAACCTCCTCCTCCTCCACCTCCTCCTCCACCTCCTCCTCCTCCTCGTCATCATCACCGTCATCGTCCATGTCTGAATCTGAATCATATTCAACGTTATCTTCCAGGTCAAATTCTGCGGGTTTGGATGTCAGTGGAGTTCGTGGTCGTATTGGGTTTTTCAGAATCGATTTCAGGTTGGCGACTGGAGTTTGAGAGGCGTAAGATGATGACAATGAAGTATCACCATCGAGAGCTTCGGACGTGGGAGAGGATGCCGGGCTTCCAGAACTTGAAGAGGCCTCACAGTTCGATGGTTCGGCGTGAACGAGAACTCTACGCGCGAGATTAATGGGAAGCATCGCCTTGACATCAACGGTATCGATTAAATGTGGGCCTCCACAGACATTATGGTTCATTTCGCTGTTTGCGCAAGAGCGTATCCTGTGTGTGGATTGGAACCTGATTTCGGAAATACCTTGAATAACACCTGCAGGAGATAGAGGTGCAGTCGCAGTTTCAGTGGAGGTCTGTTTGACCCGAAGAGTGGCCATATTCGGTAGCGCGAATCAACAGCAGGGATTGTTATATGTTGTTTTGGTATCGTTTGTGTTGAATAAGGGATATCTAGCTAAAATTCCGCGTCTTGCTTTTTCCCTATAAAAAGGAGCGCGTGAATCGCGACACGCGAACGTAATGAGGAAAAGCAGATGAAATGAAGGGACAAATGACACAGCAGGTATATAAAATGCTAAACAGCTATACCGACATACGGTTGATTCTGTAAAGGAACACTGAGATAACAAAGAGGAGAGGGACACTTTGCAAAACTGTGCGGCTGGGAGGTTGTGAAGGATATCAGAAGTTGCAGAAGGTGAATGATGCTGGTCAGGACTTCCCCCAACCTGATGAGTTGAGAAGACATCTTGTTTTGCACTGGGGAGAAACATCAAGATTCACAGCAGTGCAACTAGACCATGAAGGGCCAAAGTTGCAGTGCATATTTCATTTGCATCATTTGAAGGGGTATCTCTTCTCCTGTTCAAGATCTGGAATGTTGCTGAGCTTGCAAGATCGATCTTGGATTGTGAATGTCTTCAGAAGCTGCCAACCTGATAAGGGCAAACTAAACTGCCTTTGACTTCTGACCCCTGAAAGAAATGTATTTAAATTTCCCTTTCCTTT